TCTGTAAGTGTGAGCCACTTTTGAGATTTAATCCACTGAATTTGGCTAAAATCGTATGTTTCGCTAAGTGGGTCAAAGGGGCTAAGTGTGTTTCCTCAGATTTTCTAAACGAAAAGGTGTTGATGATTCTGACCTGTATTATTTTAAAGATAAAGGCTCAATTAAATCAACTAGTAAATTGGAAGCTTTGGGTTGCACTCTTTTTTCCGGAGCAATCGGTTGAATTTTGACAAAATTTACATATTTCACGAGCATCGCAGGTCCTCATGTGTCGCCGAAAGAAAATTGGTTTAAAAAAATTTGCAGAAGCGAATTTCTCTAATCTAGCTTCATATTTGTTATATACTTATTAAAAGAAATCCACAGAAAATTATGAGCGAAATCCATTTTCTGGGCAAAACTCGATATGAGGATCTTACAGAGACTCTTACTTGTCAGTTGTGGTCCTAGAAATCAAGACCACTCAAAGAAACCTGTCATTACTTTCCTGTACTATTGTTTTCTTCGGTGCAATTTTTAAAAGAACAAGTTTAGCGTTAACCCGTGCTCTCGGGAAATGACATTATTTTTCTAAACTCAAATGAAAACGTCTACTCTCATGAAACTCTGAAAAGGTGACAATGTGTTTAGTTATAGTGACTGTTTAATGAGCCTCCAAAGTCCATCTTTTCCTGACCAAATTCACCACTAAAAATTGTGATAATATAGCATCATGAGAAAAGGGTAAGAGAAAGTCACAATAATCCTTGCCGCATTCTTCTCTCTCTCTCTGCAAGATTTTCTCTTAACTCGCACAAGTGGGCCTCCTCGCAGGTTTTTGACCAATGAAGTCCAAAATACCTTCAATGAAGGACAAACGTGTTGAGACGCTTCCATAAAATGGCCCTTTTTTGCAGAGACCTATCTATCCCCCCCAGAGGCCAAGGTAATTTTAAGCTCGATTCGAGGTTTTACTGATGTTAGTGAAGGCTGGAAAATCAAGTAGGTGAAAAACGTAGGTGAATTTTGTTCGGTTAGTTGTGTCTTTTTTAAGGTGCCTAAATTTAGTTGCGTATATTTTGCATAAAGTCGCTTTAATGAAAGTTGGCAGCATAACTGATCATTTCAGGTGTTCTTTCCATCCGTGTTGACGGGTAGACTGGCCCCAGTCAAAAGTTGAAAAGCCTATGAATGGTCTATTGCACCTAATATTCCCTCAATGGCCCTTTATCGAGTGAATAGTTGTGCTCTATTGTCTTACAGAAATAATATTCTTTTTCATATTTTTTTAAAATTAAATTTTATTGTACGAATCTACTTATTATTATCCAGCTGATCGTGCTTACGCTAGCAGTTTGACTTTTCTTTACCTCCAGTAGTTGTCTCTCCTTAGCAATTTTGTCTTTCATTTCCTCAACCCGACTAGCCAATTCTTGCAGTTCATCTGCAAACAAAGAGGTAAATTCAATTACAATCTTACTCGTGCAGGGTTGTCAGAGAGGTTTGGAGTAAACGGCTGAGTTGTCAAAGTAAGCGGCCAGCGCTGGACGCGCAAGCCTCTTGAGGGGTTTGGGGCAAGCTCCCCCACAATATTTTTTTTATTTGGTTGCTCTGAAATACTGTTTTCTGCACTGTCCAGACTATTTTCTCTCCAAAATTACTGAAAAGCTAAAGTGAACTATAAGGTGAATTACCTAGCGTAGGCATTAATTTTCTCATCTCTTCATTTTGATGCAGTGTAATTTTGATCATTCTTAAGTGAGGAGTGTAAATATCATGTACGTTTACATTTACGAATTATTGAGGTTTCAAAATGCAGAAATCGGTAGATTTTTTGGATATTTATTTTTGTCATTCACCTGAAAAACGTTCTTATTCAAGAAAATGCAGTTCTACTTGTACATCGAAACTTTTAAAGATTAGACTGAAAACAGTACACATGTTTTAAATACATAGATCATCTTAGCGGTCCACATACACATTGCGATTGACTTAAATTCCACATGTTTATGTTACTAAAGGTTAGTGTTATTGCTGTTATATGAAATGCACATTTTTTAATAAACAACATAGAAGATAGCTGGCTTGCTTTTTTTTGGCACTGCCGCCCACATTTCCATAAGGCCATGTTGCCGTTTAGGCATTTTCAGTACTTTTTTAGTCTGCATACATGACGTACTTGTGGAAAGAACTGAAACCACTGCTCTCGCATTTGTTGTGATGTTTTTGTCAAGCAAAGCGGCACAAGCACTTTCGGCACTTTCGTGGCATTTTTATAGTACCCATGACTGTAACTGACACAAACACTTGCTAAAGTTTTCAGATGATGTTTGTTAACCACTCCAGGATATTTTATTTAAAAACGACATCCATAAAGAAAAGCCAGGCAGAGTAGCTGACTGATACTAACCAAGTAGGCGGCGATTTTCGCCGGCAATCGGCAACTTTTGACAACCCTGCTCGTCGTCGTAGAAATCAAGACCAGCCAAAGAAGCCTGTCATTACTTTCCTGTACTATTGTTTTCTTTGGTGCAATTTTTAAAAGAACAAGTTAAGTGTTAACCCCGCTCTTGGGAAATGACATTATTTTTCTTCTAAACTCAAATAAAAACGTCTACTGTCATGAAGCTCTGGAAAGGTGACAATGTGTTTAGTTATAGTGACCGTTTAATGAGCCTCCAAAGTCCATCTTTTCCTGACCAAATTCACCTACAAAAATTGTGATAATATAGCATCATGAGAAAAGGGTGAGAAAAAGTCGCAATAATTCTCGCCCCATTGTTCTCTCTCCCTGGAAGATTTTCTCTTAACTCGCACAAGTGGGCCTGCTCGCAGGCTTTGACCAACGAAGTCAAAAATACCTTCAATGAAAAACAAACGTGTTGAGACGCTTCCATAAAATGGTCCTTTTTGCGTAGAAGACCTATCTATCCCCTCCCCCAAAAGCGAATGTAATTTTTTCAACCCTGAAGTCTTTCTTCAACTACAAAGAACATTGATCCGGGGGTGGGAGGGGCGATTGATGGTGTTCAGAATTGTATGATGAAATGATGAAATTGGTGATAAAAGTGTGCGTTTCAGACAAGTGTGTCGACTACAGTTTAAAGGTTAAAAGAGTTGAAGGCTTGTTTATAGTGGAAAGTGCACTTAGCTTAGCCAGCTTTTTTACAGGCAATTCCCTCAAATACTTAGAAACAAATAAATCAAATGCAACATAACAGGATTAAATACCCCAACTGGAAGGAGGCAACCAGTTGGGCATTTACAAGCGTGGCCGAGATTTGAACTTGGGACGACCGAGAACAAATCCAGCCAGGTTGCCATACCTAACCTCATTGTTATTGGCAGTTTGCCACAAGGCTCTGTTGGAGCAACAAGGGGAGGACGTGGCATTAAATATGTGAACTAGCATTTGGTACTCTTCAGGTAAATTAAGGTTCTCACTCCACCACAGAAACCAGAGGACATCACACTCTTCAGCAGGTTCCCCGGACTTGATGGAAAATTGTTCTATGTCTGGGATGAAGGCAACCTCTTCTTGTTGAACACGAATAAGGATTCCAGTCAGATTATTAATGTAATCTGGACGTTAAAGGAGCTGGTCATTCAATAAGTATCTTGAAACCTTGCGGCAGCGTCAAACACTACACAAATTTTATCCGGTTTATTGGGGCTGGTAACTGGGTGGTGAGGAAGATACCAGGTCTTAGAACTTCTTTGGTCAGTCTCTTCTTTAGTGAGTTTGCGGGCATGGCCTTTAGCAATGTAACCATCAACGACTAAACAGAATTTTTTCCATGCAAGTCTTGGTCTCTTTGCAGGCATTGCTTGAGGTGATGAAGTCTTGTTTGGGCCATCGAGCAGTTGAAGGGCAGGTCAGGAGGATCATGTTTCCAAAGACGACCCATGCTGTAATGGTCACCCAACTTGGAGATCGTGTGGTTAATAATCCGTTCAGCAAGTTTGTCTTCCAGAAATGTTCTACTTGGCGGTCGAGGGACGTGCCATCAGTTGTTGTGTGAATATGGTAAACATGATGGCTCTGTTGTGTTGTTCCATCCCCTGTTCTAGTGAGGACAGCAAAGCCAAGGCAAGAACGGATTGCAATGGGGTCGTTAGGATTTTCACGACAAACGTCCAGTGGAACAAACGCCTCAGGCACATTCGTTCCTATGATAGGAGAGATATTTTGCCGTTTAACTTGTGGGAAAGGAACATCCTGGAGATGCGGCCATTTTTCATTGTCGGTGGCTTTGTGCTGGTGGCCCAATGGAAGGTTGAGCTCCTTTACAGACCACACTCCCTTCAGCTGAAGTCTCTGCGGCTGCTCATCAATGAGGGATTCAACTGTGAGGTCACCTTTCTCCTTCTTGAAGCTTGTTGTTATTGCTTATGGTTGAGAAGACCAAACGGTCTGATCGACCATAAAGTCCCAGGCAACTGACAAGTGAAGGGTCTACAAGAGTTACTTCGGATCCAGAGTCCAGCAGGGCAAAGGTAGTAACAGACGACCCATAACAATCAACTAATCGCAGTGGTAAGACTTGTAGGAGGACTGTGCTTAAATCCTCTGTCCCAGTAGTGGTACAGAGGGAAGCTTAGGTTGTGGCATTGGTGGCAGCAGTTTGGTCTGGTGAAGTGGGATTTTCTGATGTCTGGTGAAACTGTGCTTGATGAAGAAGCAAGTAGTGGAAAGCACCGCAGCCTTCAACTCGTCATCTGGAAGAGCTTAGACAGGTGTCTGCTGTGTGCTTAGTATCTTTGGGGTAGTTAGTGCACAGTTTCGTTGAGAAGATGAGAGAGTTCCTTTCTTGCGGTGTCTTTGCCTTGAATGCTTCGAATCGATAAAGCTGGTGTGCTTAGCCACAGCAGCAACAGTTGTTTAACTTGCACTTACCCTTTTTTGGGGACTGCTTGGTTGGCTTCTTGTCAGGGTCGCTATGATTGGTAACGTTCATCATACATTTCGTAATGTCAGGGTCCTCATCAATTGGTTCAGCCAGATTGCTGTGATTGTTAACGTTCACTGTGCATCTACAAATTTCCCTTTCCCTTTTCTTGTCAGACGGCTTGCCTTTATTTGTGGAAGGGTTGCTGCGGTGAATCTGCGCTGGGGTTTGCAGCTGACAGGATGGTTCGCGATGCTCGCATGCTTGTTCACAAAGGCAACAAAATCCGTCAGGGTTGGGAAATGTTGGCCCTTTGTTTCCAAGTCATAGGCCAGTGCGGCAAGCTTGTGTTAAAGTGGCCTTAGCAGCCGTTCTGCCATACTGACAATGTTCCAATGATTGATTTGTGACAAACACTTCCTAGATTTTAACTTTGTTAGAGCTCGAGTAGCACTGTAAGCAAACTTTTGTAGGAGTGCTGGTGCTCAGGACAGGTAGATTCAGACCGCTTGCTGTAGTTGAGGGTACCAACAGTACCAAGGGTGTTCACAGGCGTGACAGTTACTTGGGTAGGGGCTGGTGTGAAACAACTTGGCGTTACAGGTGAAGACTGGTAGAATTTTGATGAAGTGCTACTGCTCAGTACTGAAAAGTTTAGGCGGCTCGCTGTGGCTAGGGTGAAACAGTAGTCCCGGTGGTGTTTACGGGCATGACAGTTACTCGGGTAGTGGCTGGCGCAAAGGACTTGGTGTCACAGGTGGAGGATAAAAGGGTGGCTTTGAAGGAGTACTACTTCTCAGCACAAGGGAGTTCAGACCGCTCGCTGTGGTTGAGAGTGAAACAGTAGTCCCGGTGGAATTTACATGGGTGACAGTGACTTGGGTAGAGGCTATAGATGAGGAATGGATGATGGTGTTCCCTGAAGTATAAGTAGTATTGTCACGTGAAGGTGGTGCATGACTGAATGGTGTTGACTTAATTGTAGGTGATATTTCCTTGTCTGTTAACCTTCCTTCCATTTCTGCGGTAAGCTTAGCCTGTAGGTCCATAAGGGCAACTGCCTTTCTTGCTTCAGCGACCTCATGGTCTGTCTCAGCCCTTTAGTTCTTCTTCCTCAACTTCTTGCTTATGGGCAAGAAGTTGCTTTGTTGCCTCCTTTCTGTGCTCCAAAACACCACAGAATTCCCTTTATGTAGGTGAAAAGTTTCGAGCACCACTTTTTGGACAATTGATGCGATTTGTGAGACAGCTTTTACAGGATGGTCTTGGGTGATTAGCAGCAGATCATGTACTGACATCCTATCTGTTGCGGACTGCACTTAAGGTTACAGCCTGCGGCAGGGCTTTTTCACCACATCTGAGCAGTCATTGTACAATGCTCGCAAGTTCGTCATAAAGGAGAAACCAGTTCGCAAAACTGGACTTCATACACTTTCCAACATGAACAGCTTCAGTTAAGGTTGGAGGAACAGGAGATTTTCATCTTCGCTGGATATCATAATCTTCATTGCCTTTTTGTTGTTCTCCTCGCAGTCAGCAAACCAAGTAAGGACAAGAAGTTTCTTACACTGGATGCCAGCCTTGACACAGGTGTCACAAGCTCCAAGGCATCTTTCATAAAACTTCTGACCAAGAGGAGCGCAACGGTCACAAACACCTTGCCTTTCAGTACAATCTGTCACGAGAAACAATTTAGGGACTGAATAACAACATTACCCTAGTATCCTAGACCACGTTGTGTGGTCTAAAATAGTCAGTTGGTTGCCTCTTGTCCAGAATGTTTCTGTTCGATTTAAAATTTTATTTTTATTTTGTTTTTAGAATCCTTGACTAGAAGCTGCGATCTTGAAACATTCAGACTTGCACTAAATGCTTATCCCTGATTTAGAAACAATTTGAAAAGTTCAAAAAAAGTGAAAACCTCGGAAACAATAAAGCACTTGGTCCGTGGACAAGTGTTTTCTTCTATTTATTTTAGCCACACAATGCACAAAAGAAAAAATTTAAAACGAAATGCAAAGAAGAAAGTGGCTAGGAAGCCTTAAGAGAAACCATTGGGCTTATGGAAAACAGCTTCCTCGCAATTCATGTTCGGAAACCCAGTGAACCTCAATAAACCACTTAGTTTTCTTAACATAATATTACCTCAAGGATACTTACCCTGGTAGGTACTGCAACATACGGTATATCTTCAGCGGAAGAAATTACATTTTGGGTTTGGCGGGCATATTTTGGGGCAAATTCTAAAGCATTTTGCACGGTCTTATAAAATGTATCTCTTTGTAGCTTCCCGGTTTCAAACTCTCTTTGAAGTGCTGCAACAACAGGATCCAAGTCTTCAAGACACCTTGGTGACACAGAAGGAAATGATTTCAAACATACTGTCAGTTACTGCTAGTGTGTACGAGTATGATTACAGAAACTACCCGCATGGGGTAATGTAGAGATTTAGCAAGAGCTAAAAGTGAAGTTCCTATTAATAAATTTATAATTTAAATCAAACAACAAACTTGTGATTCACAAATCAGTTAACTTAAGGGGCACATTGATGTGACTTTTGAGGAAAGGCTAAGTGATTTTAGAGTGAAACATCTTACATCGAGTTGATAGCCTTATATGTACACCTAAAAATAGCAATCATCTTCTATCATCTTCAAGAGCCATAATGGTTCTTGCTCACAGAAGATTAGGCCTGGGAAACAAATCAGGCCGAATTTTTGGCATTCGACAAGTTTACTTTACAAAAATTTGCCAACAAATCTGGGGGTGTGTAAATCAACCTTTTGCAATTTTTATACATCACATCTTAGGTGAAACAGTGCTATGAGGTGCTGTATTTATCGTAAAGACCTCGGACAGAATGTAGTATTTCACAATTTTTTAAGACAAATTGCACTCAGTCAATATTCAGGATGATCAATCGTAAGCTTTTAGCAAAACCGTTCAAAATATTTCCAAAATCACCTATACGGCCAGCTGGTTCTCACCTTTACCAAACACCAAATTTGCAGTGTGATCTGTGCTCGAGTGTTTGAATGAACATTAATGGCGTTACACTTCCACGTAATATTAAAAGAATTTATTTTGTTTGTTTTTTTATCTACTGGTTTTATGACGATTTGTAATCTTAAAAAGCGTTTGATGTGTGCGGCTATTTGTGTACTTCTGCAAGTGATGTTCATGAACAACTGAAAACAAACAGCACCACGATTAAAACTGTAAGAGAGACTCCTAAAAATCAATAAATGAAATATAATTCGGTGAAACATTTACAGAGACACGAGGACAGGTATTAAAAGTCTCTAAAAGTCCTGAGTCTTGTAAGCTTAAAGCTTGAGTTTATGTCTTAAGCCAGCTTCCCGGTGTTTTCTTTTTTCAAAGATGAACTGGAGGCAAGAAAATCGCTCAATGTTTTCTTTCTACAGCCAAGTTTATAACTAAATATTCTTTGCAACGTTTTCTTTCCATTTGCGATGAAAAAATATATATAAAGGCTTTTTAAAGTTCTGTAAGCTTCTATCAAACCTGATACTAGGTCAGATCGTGTCTCAAATCTTACAAACGTGCATTAACTTGCTGCATTGCCTAATTTCATACCGCGCGGGGGCCTGGCACTACTGAATTTTCCGCACTTTTTAAAAAGTCTAGTTTCAAACTTGCGGATAGTCAGAGGAAAAACTGGAACGAAAGCATCTTTTTTCGAAAAAACATTGATCAATATTTCCTAAGAGAATCTGCCTAAACTTAGAAAGGAAAGGATGCAGTATTTCTGTCATGCCCTGAAACTAAACATAGGGAGCCGACACTCTGCAAGTGTAAGCAATTGTTTGATGATAAAGTCGGTCGAACCGAAGGTGATTATAAATTTTCTACAGCAAAGGATCCAATCGTAACCTAAGAATGCTGGAGCAAAACTTAAAAGAGCAATACAGAAGGGCTTACCTGGATTATATCCGTCACAGAAAAGAGAACTGTCCGTGAAAGGTACTGCGGCATTATTTATGTTAAACCTAGTGTTCTTAAATCACATGCAGGAGAATAAGGGACTAATCTACGTTCAGTGCATCCTAGCAAAAAGGTGACATTCTTGATTGGATTACAAGGTGATTACCAAAATTGTAACCATGCTCGTAGACCCAATAAGTTCCAAAAAGAGGCAGCTCAACAAGTGAACCCTTCAGTAAGCCATTGCTATTTGACATTTTATCAATGAATTTATACATGCCTTTAATAGTGTCTAAATTACTAGAATTGCAATGTAACTGGAAGGTACAGAATCACACGCAGGGGCCTCACAAAGAAAGTATGCACAGTTTAATATCCCCCCAAGAAGAATTACTTGTGTATTATAACATTGCTCGATGCATGAGGTCTGGTCACGGGAACTGCACTGTTACAGGCCGTTACCGGACGAGAAATGCCTCTCTTGTTAGACTGAAGTATACTTGCATTTATCTATGTTCAGTGAGAATTGTCTCCGGTCTGATCGTCCCGTGCACGTTCTTGTAATTGTTTGCAATGGCGGAATGGCGGAGGACTGTTGTTTATGTCCTTTTACACGATTGTGTAAATGTCCGCGCGTGTAACCTACATAGCCCGCATCACACAGGTCACATTGGAAGTTATAAACTACACACTGTTCATTTATGATCGGTGGCTTTTCTTCTTTCACATTCAGTTCTTGTTCAATTTTCCGCCTGGCAAACACAGGCTCGATGGTGGTGTTTACTTTTAAGTTCAGACCGTTGAGTTTTTCTTTCACCATACTTACATACATATCTGCTGAGATTTGGTCTTTAAATGGTAAAACTGCTGGTGATAAAGGTTGCTGCTGGTCACAAACCTTTGAGTCAACGAAACTTTTGATGGTAGAGTTAACAAGGTGTATGGGGTACTTTGAACGCGAGAATGCTGTGACCAGCTGTTTGTACCAGTTATACAACGGCACAATTTGAACCCCCCTCCCCGCAGAGTCGTCAGCTGGCCATACTTGTTTAAAACCTGGTGTGCTCTTCCTCTGGATCATGATAGATGTATTAACCGAGTACCAGGGCGTGGCCAAGGGATCCCCTGCGTAATCGAATAGTTACACAGGATAACCCTTCAGTACAAAGTACTGTTAGGGTCCTGCTGAATAAGAATTAAGAACTAATGAAAGTAATAACTAAAATATATAAAAGTAAGCATGCACTAAGTTAAAAAACCGTTTAAAATTAAAAAATACCAGTTTCGATCGTCCAAGGTTTTCCTAAACAAAACTCTAGTAATGTTTTTTGAACGTAATGGCAGTGAATTATTTATTATCAAGACACCTAAAAAACATAAATTACGAATCGAAAATCCAGTTTGACCTTTTGTAGTTTTGCTGATTTCTCATCGCTTCTAGTGCTTAAAGCATTGTGGTGTAAAGGTTGAAAAAAGTTCTTAATTGCAAAACTTGCAGTGCCATTAAGGCAGTCAAATAATGACTTTTGTAAAAAGTCGCCAATTGTCAAAAATCGAAGATCACAGTTCTGATTTGTTCAAGTAAATGATTTTGAGGCTTTGATAGTGGATCATGCGTTCGCAGGACTCTGGCCATCCAAGACCCTCATACCCGCAGTACGTAAATGTTTCAAGTGTTAGAAATTTCTAGGCAACATTTGCTCTTTGAAACAGTTATTTTACCGAAATGAGCTGATTAGGTGCCCCTGACTCTCTTAAACTATAGTTTTCTCGGTAGTCCAGGTATTGTTCACTGGCCACAAACCTCTCTCCATACTACTCATTTTGAGACTTGCTTGTTCACACTTTTACTAAAGTGTCCGGAAGCACTCGGCGCCATTTGTTCAAAAGGTGGATGATCCTATCCATAAGATACTAAGGACACTAAGCTGTATCCTTTGGATACTGCAATATTATTGGTTCTTTATTTCTAATGTTCACTGAATGGTGATTTATCCGATAGATTAAGCGCTATCCAATGTTAAGGCAACTTGGGTCTGAACTACGAGACAATGTTATGATAGTAAAATGAAACGATAACTTTTCTCCTCCCGTCTCTCACTTCATGCAGAATGTCATTAAGCGCCAGTCTTGTAGTCTACAAAAGCGCTGCAATAACAACAATAGTAATGATTAAAATAATAACATTTTATATGATAATAATACATGTTCATGTAGTATAAATGATAATTCACCATTTCCACATAGACCATGTTTCACCTTGTTGACCTCCCCAACCCCCCGAAAAAAAAATTGCATAACCATTGTTTCCAATTTCTCCTGGGTAGTACAGTCGTTTCAAGAGAAACTGAAGACAACAGTTATGCAAAATGTAGGGATATAAACAAGATGCATTATGGCAATTTTGGACCAAGGGAAACCATAAAGACTTCAAGCGAAGTTAACAACATCTGGTACTCCAAAAAAACAGAATACAATACTGGTTAAAAAAAATATCTCTCAGTGTGCATGTAGTGGTATACATGTACCCGGCAAACGCGATAATTGCCAAAAAAATTAGCCCCATACGATGACAATGACAGACATAGGTCGACTTATATTCACGGTTAATTTTCTAGTCTTAATCTAAGGCTTATTTATTCAATGCTGATAAAGCTTTCAACGATCGGCATCAGCAGTTTTTGATTACATGTGGCTGTACAGGTATTGTTCTTTCCAGCCAAGCACGTTTGGGATCAGCTGCCTCCTGTGTATGCCACAAAACAGAGACAAAACGATCACTTTTTAATTTTTCCTAAAGCTATTAACATTTAGGATTGGCCATGAGGCCGTTGTGTACCATTATACCCAAAATAATGAGGCCAATAAAAAATATCCGTAAGTTTTAAGTTTCAAGTTTATTTATGTTATACAAAAAACTATTACAATCAAATCTGACTGACCTGCAGGTAGCTAATTAAAAACTAATCGAGGCAGGTCAGTCTCACAAGTTTTAAAATATTGCAGATGTCAAAAAAAGACATTAACAAAGTAACAGTTTTTCCGAAAAAAGGAGAGAAATGTATAAGTAATATGGTTCAACTTTTAACTCATAAAAAAGGAAAACTAACTAAAGGCCAAAAAGAGAAGCAATTATGATGACAGGTACTAGCTATACATAGAAAAAAATATTTATATTAATATTTATATTTATATTAATATTTTTTTAAAGTCTGGCCATGACTTTGTCATTATCTATATAGCTACAATCCCGGACAAAACTACTTGAGAAATTTTACCCCTCCTTGCACACTATGTAACACAACAACACTATTTCAAAAACAACTGATTTGCGGTACCAAATTCCCCTTCCCCCAGGTCAATGTTGTTTCCTACAAATGTTTAAGAATCAGGGTTGCTTT